TACTGACATTCAGATTGCAAAACATGATTGTCGCAAGGTTTTATCTTATTGGAAAATGAGATTCACAAAATGTTCTTCCAATTTCATGCATTTATGTTCATCACTGTCTTGATACATCCTACCTATTGCAGTAGAATTTGTTGCTGTGTTTATATACTGCCTGTAATCATGATCCAAAATAAATCTTGTAAACACAGTATCTTACTTGTTCTCAGAAGTACTGGGCAATGTACACTCATCGACCTGAGGCTGTCTCTAACCCTTTGTTTAGACTATGGAATTCAATTGCCAAGTACTAAATCTGTAGCCTGGCACGGATCCCAGTTAAGCACACATTATGTCATTAAGAGGGACAATTACATGGATTCTACCGTAATTTTTAAAAGCATTCTTTTCTGTAGGAACACAAGGGAGGGGTGCATACAGGGACAAGGAACACTGTGTTCAATAGGCTGGAACAGTCGCCAGGGTAGAGGTACTGGTGTCAAAACAAAGGAGCTTTGATATATAAGACTGAAAATAATTGTATCATGGTATTGCACTAAGTTAGCGGTCATCATTCTTTTTGGGCCTGGGGACACATTTGAAAATCAAATAAAAACTGCTAAGAGCACTACAAAAATACACATTTCACAGAATGAGTGACAATACTTCTTAGAACCTCACCCCAAATACCCCCAACAAATAAAATCCTTTAAAAAAAGATCCATTTTTTAAAAAATGGGAGCGGGAGAGGGTGCTGGCAAGCACTAAGAAGGGTTTCTGAGGGAAGCATGGTGCCCATGAGCACTACTGGGGACTCTGGCACTTATCATTTTGAGGACTGGGCATTACAAAAAATGATCCTAGGGCTGCAATCCTATGCACACTTAATTACATTTTAACCTTATCTATCTTTCATGCAGGTCAAGGCAATATGTATATGTGATTGCCCATTTTTATCATTCTGCACAACACCCTTGTGAAATAGTCTAAACTGGCTGCAAGTGACTTGATCTTCATGGCCAAGTGAGGATAGACACTTGGGTCTCCTCAGGCTAAAAGCAACACTTAACTCAGGGGTGGGTGACCTGCAGCCCTAAAGTCTAATTTCAAGTTGTGAGCAGTGACACCAGGGATTTGAAGGCTACAGTGGAGAACGAGGTGTGCCATGGGAAGCTTGAGTGCAAATACAGGGGTTATGGGCTATGTGAAAAAAGGAAAGAGAGCAAAATCTTGGAAATGAAAGAGATAAAAACCTAATTATTCTGTGGTCCAAGAGGATTGAGGGGGCTTCTTGAGTGAGGCCGGAACTGAAGGCTTCAACTGCACACCAAGGTTAAGTGCCCCACTCAGAGCCTGCAAGTATTGAAAGGCAGACTATGGTTCATCAAGGGGGAATAGGAATCGGGGAGGTAGATGTGCTTTTGCGGTAACCAAAAGCCAACTGGGTTATTTAGAACCCTCCCAATATGGTTCCAATGGAGAACTTGTGCTTCCTTTAAGGTTCCTGACTAACCTGAACAAAACAACACAGAACAGAAGCAAGCCAACTGGGGTTGAGACATATGGAAACTTATGCTATTAACCCTTATAACTGAATAGTGAGACAATTTACAGGGGGTTGTGTCACAGGAGGGAAAGGATAAAACCTCCTCTTCCCACACACTGTGGTCCTGCTAACTATCTCCCTCTGCACCTGTACTTAAGTAAATACAAGATGGAGATGGAGCTACACATGTTACAACATGTGAATGAAACTTGCTCCATAATTGCCAATGGAAACTTCGCACTTATAATAAGCCTTCCCTCCCCAATGCAGCTCTGTGGTATACACATTGTATACAAATACTTTGACCATGAGTAAACATGCATAAAATGGTACTGCAGAGAATATAACACGCATATTAATATAGACCATAGCTTTCCCAGCTTTCACTTAGGTGGTGAAGTTTACATCTTCTTTTGGATTTCAAAAATTAACTTAAGAAGAATCAACTAAAAATCCTGGCATCTAAAGGGGCATGCTTTAGATAAACAGCATTATTCTGCTGCCTTTTTTAGTAGTATCAAAGGCAGACTCTCTAGTTTTAACATGGAGCTTCTAAATATCTATATATGTGATGCAATATACCTGTATCTTTAGTGAAGTCAGATGCTGCTGAGTTATGACACCTGTGTAGCCAAATTGGAGCTACTGAGAAACAAGAGAAATGTATCATCATGTTCAGAGGAACCCAAGGTTTGCAGAAGTAGAATAAATCACAACCCCCCAAAGAATGGCTTGTGCTCACAGAATGTGTAGTGTGTTGGGGCATATGTACATAAAAACAGGGAGGGAAATAAATGGAATATTCTAGGGTGCCAGAATATTCTCAACCATCCTTGAGTACTAGGTACCTTGACTTATTCTGGGTTTTTTTTTTGGGGGGGGCACACTTGATACTCTGCCCCTGGTAACAAAATGACAACTTTGACTGCCAAAGAAAGTACAGATTGATGTCTAGACTCTAGAGAAGCAGGACAAGGGAAAAGGAGCTCCAAAAGCCGTCAAAGGAGTGTGAATCGTTTGAAGCCATAAAGTCTATACTCTCACCTGCATTTCTTGGCACATGTACAAGTGCATTTTGCATCCCCCTCATCCCAAGCAACAGAGCATCAATAACAAGTGCATTGAGCAACGCAATCCCATCCTTTCTGCCCTCAGTGGACAGTGGATGGCTTTCCTTCCCCTCTTCAACACATCCTTCATTAAAACCGTTTGGCAGAAATGAAGGCAAACTGTATAAAACAGCCTCCCAGCTGCTCAACTTCACCTTCTAAATGGATAGCTCACAAGGAAAATAATTGATTTTCCCAATGCCACAACTTCCTACTAGTGCTAAATTGATTCTTCAGAAATACAGCAGGCTGCTTTACCACTTAAGCCTTTCACTCCAACTGTATTAAAATTGCAGCACCCTGGAGTCACAAAGTACGAGGACAAGCAATCAGTCCTAAGGAAATGGATGCAATCAAAATAGGGTACTTAAAGAACCAAGAAATGCCAGCTGGAGTCAATAAATGAACCCAGAGCTCTGCTACCATAATGGATCATTATTGTCTGTGGAAATAGAGACTCCTATCTCAGCAGAAGTTGCCCTTTCTGCACGAGCTCTATAAGAAAAAGGATGGTGCGCACCAGAGCCCACACTGAGCAGGAACTGATTATGCTAATAATCCAAGTCCCATGATCAGATAACAGTGTTCTGTGGTCATAAGAACAGTGTATACTGACATGTCCATTTTCAACCTGCCAGATTATTCATCTAGCAACTTGGCATTAGTTGTATGCAAACAGCAACAAAAAAGGCAGACTGATCTGCTTGGTGCCATGTCCATCCATAAGATACTATATGGTACATAGGTTCAACAAGCAGTATGGGCCACCCTTACCCAACTGTGATCCCCCCCCGATGTTTTGGAGTAGGACTCTCTGACCACAGCACATGCTAACTGGGAAGGATGGGAATTGTAGTCCTAGCCTTCTGGAGGACACCAGGTTGGGGAAGGTTGATCGTGACAATTTCTAAAAATGGCTCCTGACATTAAAAAAAACAACACATTTATTTATTTCAATCCGTTTATATACTGCCCATAATTCAAAAATGATTCAAGCAGTTTATAAAAACTACACCACCAATTAATTTTTTTTAAATTGTCTCTGTGTTGATGGCAATGTGAAACCCAAGTTTTTTGTGAACTAAGAAACTGCTGGAACAAATCAGGTTTGTGTCTGGCCTATGCCTGCATGGCAATTCCCAGGTACATTGCCTTAAGCTTAGTTATGGAAAGCAGAATAAAAATACAGAAGGATACATATAAGTGGGGCTCAGACAATCAATCCTCTTTGCAGAAGACTACGCTGTGCAATAGCAAACCCGCTACAAAAGCTAGACCTGTTTCCAACCACAGAACACTTACCATCCTGCCATTTAGAATACATCTCAGACAATATATTAAGCATCTAGGCTAGGCAGACAAAAGCAAGCTGCCACCATAGTAATGAAGATTATAATCACTTGATTTCTTCAGCGGTGATAAGGGAACAAATCTAAGGACATTGCTTCTCCCCATATTATAATTTGTTTTTACATAATACAAATGTATATGCAAAATAATTGGATGAGTTGTTAGAGAAAGGAGAAAAGGCAGAAAATTAGTCTCCAAAAGAGAAGGTTAAAAACAAGTTACTGCATGGAAGTTCCTATTCCCAGCTGAGTCTGGATCCTAGTAAGAATAATGGAAGAGGGCTCATATTCACACCAGATACTGCTGATGGGACAAGCATTCCATCTGTGTTATACAGGCATTATGGTCAGTCATAACCTAACACATAACCAGAGATAACAATTACAATGAACCAATAGGGCAGGACGGTCAATGATGGTACTTCTACTGGAGATAATTACGCAGGTTTGTACGGATTCTGAGTTACTTAGAAATTGATGCCAATGAAGTGTATGCCTCTGTAACCTCAATTTATGAAGAAAAAGGCAACAGATTTAAGACCACAGGTTTTATAACAATTATTATATGCGATGTAATATTTCAACATCATGATTTTCCCACTGAGAAATTAAATATGCCAATATTTATAGAAGTAATTTGTGTGTATAGAAACATATTCAACATTATCCAGACTCAGCTGAGTCACCCATGCAAATGGAGTTGCTACCTCCAAAAGTTGTTGTGATGTACTATGCAAAGTAAGGGGATATTTATTAAATTGCTGCTGCCAGTCTTCTGTTGCAAGGATTATAGATATTTGCCATGCATGAGCAAATGTGAATGGACATTAGAAAAAGTGATTACCACTGTATACAAACCATAATCTCATGGGTGCTCCTCTTTACACTCAGCCAATAGGGGAACCAATATACAGTTTTGTCAATCATTTGTTTCATTGAGGGGGTGGATCTTAACACTGCTTTCACTTACAGATGCGTGATCTCACTGCAATGAAACATTGCTGACAGATATTAAAAGATAAAGGATTAAATAAGATTTTATTGTCACATTTAACTGCTTTGTCAGAGATGTACATTAAAAGTTTGAGTGAGATAAAAATAAAATTTCTTGAATGAACTGATGAGATGGCAACAGCACTTATTTAACAAACCAGCACAACAGATGCTTGTAGATACCCAAATTTAATAAAACCCAAACACACTTTTTGTTAATTAGAACAGACTGCAGCAATGTAAAACAAAACATATCATGTTAAGGCCAAATAGTATGTTAAGTACTGAAAACAGAAATGTTTATAAAGTCCCAAATGTCCAAGGAGATAGAAGTATTTTTTATCATATTTCAAAGCCACTTGGTTTTACTTAGTACAGACAACAGAGAGGCAAACAGACAGATGTGGGATTGTTTAGCTACTGAGTTTTTAGCTGTAGGCAATCATATATCTAAAAGAAGTCTTCATGTGGGGTTTTAATCAAGAGTTGGATTAAATAAAACAAAGGCGAATTGTTACAGAATTAAAGGTTTGCCATTTGCTAATTGAAGAAAATGCCTAGTTCGATACTTAGTGGCACTATTTTGCATCTTTTGGGCAATTTTTCTCCTGCAAGCATAAAATAAAAAATATAGTAAGTGCATTCAAAAATTATTTAAACGGATTCCACTTCATGCCTCGCAGGTTCTTACCCAAACATGAGAAGAGCTATAGTTTTAATTTAAGAGGAAAACCCTAGGGGATTGCGCTAGACAGCCTCTTCCATTCTCCAGGACTTGGTATTTTATTATTTATTTATTTAATTTATTTATTATTGTATCCCACCTTTTTCCCTAACAGAGACTCAAAGTGGTTTACATAGTAAATCTGGATTATTTTGAAAGTTGCATGAAGTTTTGCATTAAATGTTCGGTGCCTGACAGAAATGACCACATTATTTCACTACTTTCTGCTATGTGCTCTTCATTATTTTTAGAACAAAAATGCAACTGATGATAGTGTGGGAAAGTCACTTTAAATCCACCAAGGTCAGAGTAGTTATGCTTAAGACATTCACTGATGATTTACTGGTAATCACTTTTCTACATAAAAAGGCAACCATAATTTTAAGTGATAGACATTAGGCTAGTAGAAAAAGATTGAAACAAACTTCATCTCTATTAAAAGAGCATGCAGAGAATATAGCTCACATTTGTTCCAATCAGGCTGCTTGGAATTATCAAAGGTTTTTGTTTCTGGCAATGATCTATTTGGCTTCACCATTAAAAAGCCTGCTGATCAAAGTTCTTAGAAATGCCCCCCTCCCCCAAAATTCAAGGCATGATAGTGCACGAGGTAAGCTTTGATTTGAGATCATTAGAGTGCGCTTAGTTGCTAAATTCCATTTTTTATGGAGAATATGGCAACAAAAGCCACAGGATTCCCCCCCCCCCCAATTTCACTTTGCTTATTTACCAGTACATCCATGAATTTCATCAATATTAGTAGTTTGATTATCCTAATGATTCAATTACAAAACTTGCAAAAATGTATCACAAAAGTGAATAAGCCATCTAAGTTCAAGTCTTCTACATCTGCTGTGCACAATAATCCACTTTTGTAGCTCATTTCCTCCAAGTTAAATCCCAAAATATTTCTGTAACATTTAGGAAAGATAGTGCTATATTAAGCTCATGTTCCATTAGATCTGGGAGATTTGAGTGTTCCTGGAATCTCCATCCGCATGTGTCAGGGGACGAGAATTTCTTGTCTGTGCGTAGTCATTGTCAGATGACTCTGTAGGTTCAAGAAAATTCTCACAGTCACTGTCTTCTGATTCATTAACATTGTCACCGACAGTCGCCTGGGAAGAGGATGGCATGGATGTTCCATTGCCTGAAAGCTTCAGTCCTGTATTTGTGGAAACATAACTGGAAGAGCCTACTGCTTGAGGTCGAGGCATGAAAACATTGCTTTCTAGAACACCAGGGCGTATGGCACTGTCGTGATTGATTACACTCAAGTCAGCATAAGGAGGAGGAGGATCAGAGGCATCGGGTTCTTCAAGATTACTACCTTCTGCAACAAATCCAGCATGGGACATTCGGGGGATAAATATAGGCTCCAAGGTATCATTTGACATTTGTCTGCTTAAGATGGCCTGCTGCAGTCCTACAAAAAAGTGGAAAATAAATGTAATTAGCTGTCAAAACAAGGTATCTTAATGTGGCAAACTGTATAAAATTTTGATATCATGGGTATTGAAAAGAAACTCACAATGGACATATGTATTCAACTATGTTTAAGTAAGTCATTTGAGTGAAAAACTGCCAATGTTAAACTGACTGAACTAGTTTTCCTAGAATTCACTTTGCTAGTACTAGCATGCTTCATTAGTGCAATGTCTTGCAAGAAGTTAAACCCAGTGCCAAAGTGAAGTGGAGCAATTTGGTTTAGTTAACTCAAATAGGCAGGATTTCTCAAAGGCAGGCACTAACACAAACCTGATAATAGGCTGCTTTAGGTGCATTTATTGCCTCTCAAAAGAGAATTCCTCATGGGCAAAAAAGAATGATACAGTTACAGCAGATTATATATAGCATACATGTATTATGCCTCACAGCAGAGGATTGTACTTATGCAGGAAAAGACTGAAGTAAAACCATTTAAGCAATTTCAATTGGCTATTATTTTGAAAAGCCAAAGCCAAAACCACAACCTAATATTGAGAAGTATGCTGATTTTTAGGCAAGAGAATTCCTAACAGCACCTGAACCACAAAACCATCAGATACAGATTTATCATTTCTGACCTCTTTCCTCAAATGTTACTGAGACCAACTGGGATGAGATCTATGTATCTCTGAACTATACAATAGTAACTTTGATTTTGATTCTTAGCTAATGAGGCGCTGAGGTTTTGAACACTAATTTAGAACTATCACATACCATCTGTCACGGACAAATGAAACTAAACATGCATATAATCTTTTCAAAAGTCAATCTTCTAATGTCAGAAGCAGTATTTTGTGTCTCTAAAATTGAAGGATATTTTTTCCAAACTCTTTTCAATACTCCTTTGGTTCTTCTGCACAATGTGGAGAGAATGCAGTGGGCAGAAACCATGCAAAATGAGTTCTACCACACTATCAGGCCTATTCAGCTCTCACTTTGGTTACTTGCTACCTTACCCTAAAAGCTTCTGCTTCTTGTCTTATGTCTTTCACAGCATATCTGAGCAATGCGGTTTCATCAAAATAAATCCCCACCACAAGGCAATTAGACAAGGGAGTGGATAGGACAGCATAATATTAAAATATACGCAAACAATAGGGTTTGAATGAGCCCCAAAACTGTAGAGAAACAGAAATAACTGCTGTGTAAGTAACTGTATTGGCCCAATTTTATTTTAGGGTTCTAAATGAATGGCATAGGGTTTTACCCTTGTCAAAATATACAGTCAAACCTCAGATCCCGAGCACCTCTGTTTTGGAACGTTTTGGCTCCTGAATGATGAAAACCCGGAAGTAAATGTTCCGGTTTTCGAACATTTTTCGGAAGCCAAACGTCTGATGCGGCTTCTGCTTGAGTTGGAAGCCATGCCTCGGTTGTCCAAGTCCAACATTTTGGAAGCCGAACGGGCTTCTGAGAATGGATTACGTTCAACAACTGAGATTTGACTGTAATGCCTGATTTTAACATGGATAGTATACTGATAAGCAAGTAAAATCAAACCCCAGGGAAAAGTAAGCATGAAAGTGGAAGGCATTCAAGAGCTAGAGAAAAATAATCTGTTGTACTTAGTTATAACTGAAGAACTTGTTTTATACTTGCCACTACCCTAAAGCTTATGTACTTATGGAAAATCTAGTGACTGCTAAACCACTCAGAACTGCTATGCCCCAAAATCAACACACTGCAGAAAGAAATATATTATCCTTCCAATACTCAAACTTGGTATTTAATGGGTTATCCATCCAATCATGTTTTGAACCGTTAGTCATGTATATTGGAGAACTACTTGATAGAAGATCAGAGTAGCACTTAAAGGCCAGGATCACATTCAATACGTCAGAAGCTACATTTGAAGAGGCAACAATAAATAAAAAACAAACATTGCTCCCTAGTGCTGAAATTTCCATCGCACATTTATCTGCCCTCAGCATTTACTGTTTTCTACTTTTAGCACCCCCATATATGGCCCTCTCTATTTCTCAATCCACATTTCCTATAATCCTATTTTTCTTTAATCTTATTCCTGATTTCTCCGCTAAGCACTTGCTTGGACTTTCACCACATTCCATCTAGTCATTTAAGTGCCAGCTAATATAGGAAATATTTGTGTTCATGAGTAACACAAAGGGGATATGGTCCAATCCAAAGTGAATTGGCCCCCATTAAAATTTTGTTTAGGAAGTTACCCAGTACATATTATGAGTTGACGGGAATGGACTTAGAAATAGAAAACACATGGCTTCCCACTCAGCTATTTATAATTGGCAACAAGTATAATCTAAGTGGTTCCTAATTGGAATGGAAGAACTGCCAGCCATATCCATAGTTTAATAACTATGAAAGCTATACTTCAGATATAAGACAAGCATGTTTTAAGGACACACTTCATTCTAGAGCCCCAGAGAACATACAGCGTCTTTCACATCTCCAGATCATAACTGATGCCCATCATTCTGAATACTACAATTAAGTGTCATATTTTGATATTTTCAATGAACATCCCATTCCACGTCTACATTAGCAGCAAAGTTCCCATCACTACTAATATAATCGTCTCCTAGTTTAACCCTTCCCCTGCTTCTTCTAACACTATTTTTTTCTGTTTGTGCTGCAGCTACTCCAGCAAAGATTCTTTTGTTAGGCAGGAACTGCATCAGGGATTATCTACCAATTTACAAAGAGAACTGAACAGTGTTTAAGAATGGTCAAGGGGAGGGTGCATCCCCAATTCTATAATTGTCCCTGTTCATTAGCTTTCCTTACCCCACAGAATTAAAGTATAAATGATATGCCGGATATTTGGTCTAAGGAGGTGGCCACTCACACAAAACTAGATTACTGAGGTGGTGTATGGTATCATCTCTAAATACCCAATGTGATATATGTAGGGCTCTCCAACCCTACAAAGCAAATTGGGTGGCATGTGTGGAATACATCTTTGTTGTATACAAAGATGGACACAAATGGATATCACCCTTAGAAAAGGGTCTGGAACAAAATGCTATTGTGCTATGCACTAAACTCTAAATATTGGATTTGTTTCCAACTGGACTGTGTAATGGAGCACTGCAGAGCTAAGGGTTCGGTCAATTTTCCCAGCCAGGTAGAGAATATTTACAGAAAAGGCTTACTTATTTCCTGCTCCTTTTCTTGTTTCTTTTGCAAGATTTGTGTTTTTAGCTTATTGACTTCTGCCTGGAAAGTTTCAGCAGCTTGTTCACTCTTCTCTACTTCTATACATACTGCCTAGGAGAAATACACAAGGTTAGTGAAAATTCATGTTCAAAAGCCTTAGTAGAAATGCAATGTAGAAAAATCAAGTTCCAAGACACAGCCACTGTGAGATTTTCATAATTTATATACTATGCACCACTTGTGACCAAACCTCAATTACTGTGGTAGAAAGAGAAGTTGCCAAATTTCAACTCTGGGCATCATTGTAAAGTACTGAAGGAATGAAATACAATTTGCACTAAGTTTTAAAAACTTATTTCTGAGTAGACATGGTTAGGACTGTGCTGTATGTTCTTTGGAATTCAATGGTGTTTACTCCCAAGTATATGGGAGTAATTGCACTCTTAGCAGCCAGATTTTGGCTTCATACACGGCCAATGCTAAGTGTGCTGATGGCCAAGCAACAACTCATAAACCCTCGTTGAAAACAGATAATGCTCTATATCACCACCTCTCAATCATTACTTACTGGAATCTCAGAACAGTAATGCAAACTGATTTTATGCACTGAAGCAAAACTGCACGAGGGTCATGTAATAATCAGGGCAGGTCCACTCACAGCCTGGGATGTAGCACTACAAAAACTGTAAGAGTAGTCCCAAGCCACTAATGCTGACACCAGCTTTGGCAAACCAAAACATTCACGTAGTTATTTGGAGGAATGCAAGAGAATGGCCACTCTAGCTGGTGCAGTGCAAAGTTTATTTGCACTACAGCTAATAAGTTGGGATGAGCAGCCTGCTGAAGAAACAGTTTAATAAAAATCCATTTATGCCATAATTGCAATGTATCTAGTGAATACTGGCCAGGTGGGGAATATATTGAGAAGAGGCTTTTTATACGCCTGACTGTTCTTTTGAACTTAGAAATGTAAAAGTTAGATGAAATATTATTATTATTTATTAAATTTGTATACCACCCTTCATCTGAAGATGTCATGGCATTTCACATGGATCTGTTTTTTCTCTTTCAAAGAGCTACGAGAAAGAATGTGTGAGGACTTAATATTTGGGGAAAGCCTAAGTCAAAGTTCACAGACTAGCAACTTTAAACGTAACAGAAAATAGCATAAGCCCACATAGCATGCACAGGCAGGTTTCTTTAGGTCACCTGTGCACCAACATAAAGCAAGGAAAGTCACATCCCTACAAATATTGGAAAGGGTGATTTCTGGAAAGCAAGCGCTTGCGTTTTTTAAAATTTTTGCTTCAGACAGAGGTTCAACACACTTGCATGATAACTGCAATTACTTAATGTCAAATATATTTTTAAAAAAGAATAAAACATAGAGATGCACTATTTAAGAGAACCACTAAGGGTATTAATGTTTGTATGGATGCTAATGATCACAGCATGGATCATATATATAGAATATATAAGTGTGCCTCTGAGCATGTGAAAACAGCCCTTCCATCACTGCTGAGAAACCTAAACCTGGTTAGCTATCTACTCGATGAACACTTTTAGTTTTTTATATCTGTTTTGTTTTATTGAACATCTTATGTATTTCATATTCTATATTCTATTACTGTAAATCGTTCTGGGACTCCTCAAAACAATATATAAATATATTAAACTAAACTACCAGATGTGTATGTTATGAATCTGAAAAATAAAGAAGTGGCACAAATGATGCAGTTTCAAATCAACCCACAGGATTCAAGAATAAAAGGGAGATGGCAACTTCATGCATAGCAGGAGTAGTTATGGATGCTTACTTTACCACCGGTAATGCCATAAACCAGGTTTCAGGCACATAATTGGGGCAGCTACTTAAGTGTAAACGTGCAGTTATGGCCTTAATTAAACTTTGGCACAATGGCATCCAGACCTTAAAAAGACCAGATAATAGGCAGTAGGGTCTGAATCACAGAAAAGGAAGGACTGGAGCAAAGAGGGATTTCCATTTTCTGCTAATTTTAAACGCTATAGTATTCGTTAAAGATCCCTTATCAAATATTTAACACACACACACACACACACACACACACACACAGCCTTAATGCATTATACAGTAGGGCCTCAATTTTGCAATCAAGTCCAGTGGAGAAAGCCCTTCAGAAGAACGCAGCCACAAAGATTCAGCATTTTGCCCATGCAGACCCTAAAGTGAGATCTGGACATAGGACAATTTGGCCTATCTCCTTGACAGCTACTTTCGGTCTTAAAGCAGGGAAAACTTGTAATAGACAATTATTACCTACAATTCTTATGCTAGAAATTTCTGTTCTATTAAGCATTATTAACTAAATATTTTAATTAGTTGATTTGACTTAATATAGCTTAACTATTCACAATGTAAGTTCGTGAAACATTTAAATTCAAAATGAAAGTTTTACTGTAGCTTTGCATTAGTAAGCAGAGAGTTGTCACAATAAATACAGAACATTAAAGAAGAATTACCTGTGCTTTTTCTTGAAGTGCATTATAAACCTGATATATAGCCCTGATGTCCTTCATCACACCATCTTTATCAAAAAAAGCAGTACTAAAAATACATCAGAAATAATGTGTTAGAAATGGGCAAATCCTGCTTTTCCAAGATGTCTTTTACCCTTCAAAAGGGTTTACCTTTCAGAGCCATACTCCAGGAAGCAAGGCTTGGACTGCTGAAGATGTCTGAAAAGGATAGCATCTATGATGCACCCTGGACTGACACAAAGCTCTTTGATCCAGCAGAGGTTTCGATTTGCAGAAAAATGAGGGAGGCAATTTTTGTCAATTCCATTTCCCCCTGCAGTTCTGTGTGCCACTGCACACGTTGCTCCAAAGGGTCCCCAATCCAAGCAAATTGACCAGGGGGTGAGGTTTTGCAGGGGAAAGGGAAATTGGCAAAAATTGCCTCCTTTCCTGTTCCACTGATGGAAACTAGATTAAAGAGCCTTCCATCAAGTAAAAAGACACCATTGGATACAATCCAAAGTTATTTTTGCACAACCTGATGTTATATTAACACAAGAGAAACATTTATTCCACAAAGCAAATAGACTGAATATTTATTGCACACAAAACAAACAAACAAAAAACAAACAAACCATGACAAACTAAAAGCCAACAAGGAGCCTCATTTAAGCCAATAAAAGTCATGCACATGGAGATCCTTCTACAGTTAATGTTGGTCACATTAACATTGCTTTTCTTGATAATTTGCTTTATCCCAAATAAAGTTTTTGACTTATTTTTCTGCTTCTCTGTACTGTTTAAAAAACAGCAGTCATTAAACAAAATCAGATATCCAAGAATGCTCTAGATCTGCTCCTGGTGATATCTAAGAGAGTCATGATAACTGAAATCAATGGATCCACTGCAAGTGTGACTAAGTTAGCAATCAAATGCATTTATTTCTAGGCACACCAAAATGGCATTTGTTACATATTAAAACAATGCTCACCCATGCTCCTTAATAACTTTGGTATAATTTTGGGAAGTATTTGGCACTGAAGAGACCTTGTATTCCTGTTGGCTTGTGTTGCCTAGATTAGGAATAGTAAGTGACACTCTTTGATTATACCTGCAGAAAAAGTTTAGAAATATGAGGTTACTTTCTGTAATGTTATTTCCCTACAAGAGATTCCAGTCATAATAATCACCCAGAAGAGCCTATTGCCTTACTACCTCCCCACAATGATTAGGGTTTCAAAAAGCTACAATTAAGGAAATACAACCTAGCAGTTGCAAGTAGAAAATAGGTATTGCTCCAGCGGGAAGGTAAACGGTGTTTCCATGTGCTGCTCTGGTTTTGGTGTTCCATTACACCAGAAGCGGCTTAGTCATGCTGGCCACATGACCTGGAAAAACTGTCTGTGGACAAACGCCGGCTCCCTCAGCCTGTAAAGCGAGATGAGCGCCGCAACCCCAGAGTTGTCTGTGACTGGACTTAACTGTCAGGCGTCCTTTATCTTCACCTTTTTTTTACTTTAACATACTAGTTATGATCTTAAGTGCTGACACCCGAACAAACCATTAGCAGTAAGTAATGACCCTAGGCTACAACTTGCAGCTTACTCCTAGTAGTACACCAAGAGCAGGGGAGAAATGCAGCACTCATGATTTCTCTCAATGCACCAGCATGCTTGCTTATACGCAGTAAGTCAAAGCTTGCAGTACATGCAAACCAGAACATTAAAGGAATGCAACCTAGCTTTTGTTCACCAAACTATAAAATATAACTAACTCACTGCTGGAAAATGTTAATGATGGCTATATAAGAAAGAGGTTATTACCCACCACCACTAGAACCAAATAGTTTTGTTTTTTCTAAATAGATTTAAAAAAAAAGGTGAAGCATAATATTTAATTTTTAAGTCACATTGATTAAAGCTGTTTCCCACTAATTATCAGCTACAGTTTTAGATGACTGCTCAATTAATTAAAGTTTGCAGTCCTATATGCAAGTACAACCAGATCAGCTATAGAAAGCCAATTTGTGATTGGGTCATTTTCATGACTCTCAAATATTTTAGTTTCTAATTACTCTTATGGGCCACAAAGTATCTTTAATGAAGAGACAGCAGAATGTTTTACTAGCAGATATATTGAGAAGACAGTTTTCAATAACAATAATAATGTATTTGTACCCCACCCATCTAACTGGGTTGCCCCAGCATGATTATGATTATAATCACGATTATGATTATCAGACATAATGGCATTCACTAAACTAACAAGACTCTAAAAATGAATCCTTCACAAGTTGGTTTTAAATAAACTACTACAATGTGTCATCCAATAATAATTCTTACAAATTCCTACATTATATTTTCCATATACAGGCAATGATCAATTAACCGATGGCACATGCATGCACAGCGCTGAACCCAGAAGTGACCCGAAAACATCAGGAAATGAGTCACTAAAAGGGCAGAACAGGGTGCGGGGAGCTTATACATGCTCTGCCAATGCATGCTTTGGCCAGGAACAGAACCCCAGTGCAAAATGGTCATTGACTGTAACTCCCCTTTCTGGATATATTACTCAGCAGTTTTGTATAATTAGGGGGAAATCATGACAGCTTCCAAAGAAGAGCATATATTTCTGGATTTTGTCTGTGGATTATGTCATCTGGTACAATACACACCAGCTATTTAGCACTTGAAGCAACTGAAACACTCAGAGGAAAAGCAACTTGCACATCATCTGTGACTATTACTTTTTTTAATTAAAAAAATCATTAAAATGGACAAACAGTTTCCCTCCACATCTTATAAACTGTTTACCTTCGGTTTGGTCTAAAGAGAACATATTCTAAAGCATGTGTTGAGTTATTTGCAGTTGAGATGAAACTGAAGAGAAGGAAGACAAGATCAGGCACTCCAAGAATCTGTGTCAGCTGTTTATGAATGATGTGTTCTCTATATGACATTTGTTGCTGGGTGTTTCTCCTAAATCTGTACCATCCAATAACGTTCTACAATAAAGATTGAATTAGGGAGTATTAACTGAAGGATAAAAATTGCATCTCAAAAGTACATTCAATATAGATTAATGATGAAGTCCCAACATGATGCCAGAATTCTTAAGCCTAATTATTCCAATCAAAGAAATAAATGGCATTCTGCAAGATAGCATTGTTGCAATCTAGAGAAAATCGAATCCCTTCATGTTACCAACAATCCCATGCTTCAGGAAATATTACACTTTGCAGTGACAGGAAAACTTCTGATTCAAAGACAGCAGATATTATTACTGAAGTACATTCAATTTAACTTGCATGCTGCTTATCACATGATCCTTAAAAGCTTCTTTTCCCTCAAGTCCTTATGTTTTTCTACTGTTTAAGTAGCAAACCCTTTTATGCCTGGGGGCCACATTCAAAGTTATCCAATGCTCTGAGGACCGCATGACACTGTGTGTGTGCCACTCTCTCTCTCTCTCTCATACCGCAGGGGAGAGAAAAATCTCATCTTTAAGTTGTTATGGGTAAAGAGAATGAAAGCTCTCAGCTCACACTACTGCAGCAATGGGGTTCAAGAGCGCCCACTCTCCTTGCTCATCAGATCTGCATTCTCATCATCAACTGATCTGGACAGAGAGATTGAAACCTCTCTGGTCACACCAGCTTGATGGGGCTCAAATGCAACACCTCCCTTTCCCAGTTTAAAAACGCACCATCAATGCAGCCAAATTGTTGAGGGGTGTGAGGAGCTGCTAGAAATGGTCTGCAAAGCCAAATATAGTCACTATCAACCTCTGCTGTAGATACTAAGAAAACAGTACTAAGATACTACAAAATTTCCCTTCTTCAGAACTGAAGTAAGAAGAATAAATAGAAAAGTGTTATTGCATATTTAACTGTGCACAATAATTCCTACAATTATTTAGATCTTACTTGAAAGGAAACTAAAAGAAACCCCTCTCTCTATTTCAAAGAGAACGGAAAACATTTTTTCCATGAAAGCCACAGGAAAGATGAAAGCGATGAGGAAGTTCCACCCGATTATCAGCTGTAACTGAGAGTCAGGCTGCTGATTGTTATGAACCACTAAGTCCCTTTTAAGATTTCCCCCTTTCATTTTTAAAATAAATTTAGAAAGATATAGAACAAAACACAAGATATGGCAGTGCCCCAGTGAACTAGTGAGTACAATAAAAAAATTGCATGAAGAGAAAAACCAACTACAATTCTAAAAAAAGTCTTTCCACACTGTTGAGTGCTGACCACATGAGTTAGAAGTAGTGGACAGTCCTCTGCTGTGGGTATACTCCTTTGGTAGGAAGTTACAAAAAAGTAGTGCTAGAAAACCTATTTCCTAAAAGAAGTATTGGGAAATTCCTTTGGGGTTATATCCTACATCTCATCCTATTTAACACTGACATGAAACTGAATTCAGTCAAGCAAAGGGAGCAACAACTACAAAAAAGTTAACATTTAGGCAATTCTTCACCAGTCCTACAGGATTCAGAGAGACTGAGAGATGGCTCAGAGGAGAGACAGAGGGCAGAGGTCCCCATTATCAGTTGCCTGTGAATGCTCACTGGGATACTTTCCCTTCTTTTATTTTTTTCATATCCTTTTTACATACGGTGTGTGAGTGTATGTGCCCCAACTGGCCCCAAACACTTGGGACAAAAATGGTTAGCCACGCCTGGTCTAATATTTAACATATTTCCCTTCATCATTCTTTGTGATAAAATGTTATGTTACTTTTTCTTCAGGCCTTACCGGTAGCACAGAGGAAAAATTAATAAGGAAGTGCAGACTTACTTTTCTCTGATCTTTAAGAATCCTATCCAAATTCTCTTCATTGACTTTGCCCGCATAGTCATAAAAGCTTAAGAAAGAAAAAAAAAAAGGTTTGGCTTAGAATCAAATCAGTGCTGTTTAGTGGAATGAAATGTAATATACTGTAAAGGTGTGTCTGAGGCTGCTTATTCACTACATCCATGAACGACTAAACCTTATAGAAAAATATTATGGGGAAGTTAAACAACTAAGTTATGAAAAATAACATATGTACCCCTGAAAAAAGTCTGCTATTAAATGTTAAGTTTCACAGGTAACAAATCTACAGCTAATGTTTTTAAAAAATATCTCAACTAGCTCTTGCTCACATGTCTGTTACTTATAACTAAAGGTCAGGAGTTCACCTGCAGAAGCAGCATTCAAGACCAAAGCATCCTTTTTTGAGTTGGAATATTGTTTAGGGTTTTTTCTGTTGGGGGTGGGATTGTTGCTGTTTCTGATATTATTATTTTTTGTATCTTTATTTTAGATCTTAATATAATTTATGTAGAAATTGCTTAATTTGGTTGTATTTTTATTGATTGTTTATGACTACTTTTGTTGTTTGTGATTATGTTTTTTTCATGTTGTAAGCCGCCTTGAGCATAGTTTGAATTATGGAAAGGCAGCATACAAATAAAATTATGTACATATGTATGTTTCCTTTTGTTAGAAGCAGATGCTTACACTTTAGATCACTGTCAGTCTGTACATGCTATGTATCCATTCAACACATAATGAGCACAGGAGTTGTGTGTAGACAGCGGTATAGTATGGACCAGGCATATACATTTATGTACAAGTAAGCCTTATCCACTTTTATCTCTGTGGGTATTAGATGTACTGTATAAGCGGAGCATAATCTCTATTCAAACACAACACTGTAAGGAAGGAACAATTAAGTAAGGCAAACACACCCAGTATCCACACTCAAAACACCCACTGTGTGTAGAACACATATAAAATATGCATTTTTAGAGATTTTATAATGAGATTTGTAAGGCATGTCTTTGAAATGAAGATGCATCCATCAGTTATTATCAGATAGCATTTTTATCTCCCTAAAAGCAGTTCTCAACAATTAACTTTCTTAGCCTCCATCTCAAAGAGGTTAACATGAGAATCACATATTTATATCAGCATCAAGCTGGAGCCGTCATTTAACTGAGCATACATAGTAACTAAAAACCACAAATTTCTACATCTGAAGAGAAACTTAAGTATATCCTGTATTAGAAAATGACATTCCTTCTAGACTTATCTGCCAAATTATTAGCCTCTTTGTAGAGGAAGTTTATAGTACATTACACTCATTGACAGCAGTACCATGTTAGTTTCTTATTTCACACAAGTGCTACTATTTAGCAAAACGAAGCCTATTCTTATACAGAACAATGTCAAAGGTTGCATTTCTCTTAAAATTAATCACTATCAGATGCTGTGCATTGTGTACAAATTCTTATTCCTGTACATGTTTAAGTAAAACAAGAGGTCTAAACTCCATTGACAATAACATTATATAATCTGAACTGAATTTATTTTTTATTTTATTTTAATGTATTTTTATTAAAGATTTTACAAAGGTAAGTGCAACGTCTCTCTCTCATATTTTTTCCCACGTAACACTTTTTTGAAAAAACAAAACAAATCGGTTTCATTTGTTGAGACATTAGGAAGAATAGGGGGAAAGAGCAGGAGGAGGGGGGGGGGAAATGAGTGTCGGTGGAGCCAGGTGGTGATGTTCTGAACTGAATTTATAACAAATGTTTTTGTATATATAGACGCCTATTGCTTTCAGCTTTCAACTTTGCTATGTGGAAGTGCTGGTATTTCTAGGATTGGCAGAAAGTTTCAGACAACTTCTGAGAGCCAGCATGGTGTAATGGTTACCACTGGATGAGGACGTCAGAGGCTAGGGTTTAAATCCCCACCTGGCAAAGCTCCCTAGATGATCTTCAAGAAGTTAAAAAATTAAAAAATTGTCCAGTAGCACCTTAGAGACCAACTAAGTTTGTTCTGGGTATAAGCTTTCGTGTGCATGCACAAGACAATTTTTTTATTTATTTCGACTGCGTCAGACCAACACAGCTACCTACCTGAATCTAAATTCAAGAAGTTACCAATTCTCAGCCTGAGCTATCTCACATAGTTTTGAGGATAATATGTAGTAGGGGAGAACCACATACATGGTGTTCAGTTCCTTGGAGGAAAGGTGGAATATAAATGTAATATCATAAAAACATAGAATTAGAGTTGGAAGAGACCCCTGAGTGTCATCTAATTCAACTCCCTACAATGCAGGAAACTCAACTAGATGATACATGACAGATAGCCATCTAATCTCTGCTTAAAAACCTCCAAGGAAGGATAATCCACCAACTCTTGCTGGAGTCTGTTCCACTGTCAAACAGCTTTTACGGTAAGAAAGTTCTTCCTGATGTTTAGTCAGAATCTCACTTGTTGTAACTTAAATCTCTGGAGTAGAAGAAAACAAGCTTGCTTCATCCTCCATGTGACAACCCTTTAGATATTTGGCTATCAGATCTCCTCTCAGTCTCATCCTTACCAGACTAATAAATAAAATGCTCTAAAAAAGAAGAGAATCCATAAAATTGGAAAGCTCTTGGACACAGGGGGAAAAGATGCAAAGGCCACCATCACTAGTGACATTTTCTCTTAACATGTATCATGCTTAAATAAAGATTTTAAAAATTTGCTTTTGTAAACCACTTACAGGATCTTTTTAATTTTTACAATTATGTGGTATATAAATTTTATTAAATGTCTTCATTAAAACATCATGTCAATAAGTGTGATAAATAAACTGGCTGGAAATCTTGAAGAGGATAAATACATACCAAGCAATAATTTTATGGGACTGCCTCAATTAGTAATAGCTATACATTTAACACATACAGCATCAATTGTATTACATACAGATTGTGGAATCTGTAAAATACAATATGGTATTCTGTGAATGTGGAGAGCCAAAAAATGAAGGAACTGAACCACCTAAAAACTTAGGTAAAGGTAAAGGTAAAGGTACCCCTGCCCGTTCGGGCCAGTCTTGCCAGACTCTAGGGTTGTGTGCTCATCTCACTCTATAGGCCGGGAGCCAGCGCTGTCTGCAGACACTTCCGGGTCACGTGGCCAGCGTGACAAGCTGCATCTGGAGAGCCAGCGCAGCACACAGAACGCCATTTACCTTCCCACTGGTAAGCGGTCCCTATTTATCTACTTGCACCCGGAGGTGCTTTCGAACTGCTAGGTTGACAGGCGCTGGGACCGAAGGACGGGAGCGCACCCCGCCGCGGGGATTCGAACCGCCGACCATGCGATCGGCAAGTCCTAGGCGCTGAGGACTTAAAAACTTACTTCCTATTAAATCACTTGGTACAAACAGGGCAACTTGGCATCTGCATTCTTTTAGCCATAACAATAAATCCACATATCCCTAGAAAGCTAGTCATATTTCTAAGTCTCTGAAAGGATGAGCTGAATTTTAAAAAAGAATTTATTTTTAAAAGGAGACTTTATAAGGAGAAAAGACTCATTTAGGTATTACTCTTAATGTGATGCACTGCAAATATGGGAAATAATGTATACAACATATGGGAGCTCCCAAGCGCATTCAGGATTTATTTTTGTTCTTTATAAAGTTGAAGGATGTTCTTTCATAACACCTGTGGTATTGATTTAAAAATTAGTAATTAGAATATTAGACTGGATGCTCATTCTGACAGTTATACTAATGCTGGTTTCAGCCCACCTACAATTGGCACAGAGGAAAAAGAAAAAGATGACAAAGTAACTTACCTAAAGAGTTTGGAACAAGGTTCATGATTATGGATATCTGTAACAAGAAATTGACAGTGGAAGTTTCAGTTATACTTTGCATCAAGTGGAAAGCTACCAAGATGTACCCCACGTTTCCCCCCCCAAACATCAACCCAAGAGCAAATGCCCAATTCCATTTCCCTGAACATATATAGAACGTTTCTAACATCAATGAAATTAACCTATACAAGTGTTTTGCTCATTAGTCATATTATTTTTACCATAATCAACAAAAGGGCACTATTCTACGGATATTGGAACAACACTTAGCACTTATAAACATGTAGCCACACTTCCAATCCAGTGGCTTCCTTCCCCCTTAGGAACTGAACTGTATTTCAAGCACAAGAAAAAAGTATGTAACTCAGCTGTGTATCTGCTGAACTAGAAAAACATGTACCCAGGTGCAAATGGCCTCATGAAGTAGCTGCTCTTTTCTTAACTACCTGTTCCCGAAGCCCTGAAGTGTACACCTGGGACGTTTTATCATATGCCACAGAAAGTAGCAAATCAAGTAGCAGTAGTGAACAGAGTTCCACATATTTCTGTCAAGAAACTTATCTGACCAATTTTTGTTAATTCAAAGCATTAAACATGGGAGTGAAATGAATGAATGAATGAATGAGGTTCAATTGCAGTGCAAGTTATTAAACTGTAGCTACTTACCAATAACTTGCAGAAATTCAATGTTGCTGATTTGAGAGTCACTAATACTAAACGTCTCCTCTTGCCTTATCTCTCCCAAAAGAAATCCTTCCTATAAAATTGAACAAAATAATTATGATTAATGACAAAACCTACAATTGTACTCCATCATGTTTTATCTTCATGCAGTTTTCATAACTACATGTAACTTAAATTATTAAGGGCACAATCCAAGGTTGCACAAATGGACCTCTACTCATAGAATAATAGAATCGTACAGTTAGGAGGTACCCCAAAGGTCATCTGGTTCAACCCCTGTAATGCTGGAATCTCAGCTAAAGCATCCATGACTAATGGCCATCCAACCTTTGCTTAAAAACCTCCAAGGAAGCAGAGTCTACTGCCTCTCATGAGAGTCTGTTCCACTGCCGAACAGCTTTCACCGTCAGAAAGTTCTTTCTGATATTTAGTCAGAATCTCATTCTTGTAATTTGGAGCCATTGGTTTGAGTCCTACCTTCCAGAACAGGAGAAAACAAGCTTGTTTCCTCTTCCAGGTGATAGCCCTTGGGATATCTGAAGGTGGCTATCATATCTCCTCTCAGTCCCCTCTATTCCAGGCTAAACATTCCCAGCTTCTTCAACTGTTCCTCATAAGGCTTTGTTTCCAGACCCTTGATCATCTTAGTTGCCCTCCTCTGCATATGTTCCAGCTTGTCAACATTATTCTTAAATTATGGTGCCCAGAATTGGACACAGTATTCCATGTATGGTCTGACCAGGGCAGAACAGAGTGGTATGTATGGACACCATACTTCTGTAGATGCAGCCTGGAACAGAATTAGCTTTTTTGCTGCTGCATCACACTGTTGACTCATGTTAAGAGTACTAAGACCCCTGGATCCTATGGGGTTAATAAGCTTTCTTTCTGAATCAAAGTGGGCACATGTTCTAGCTAGGATCATTCCAGGGTTGTGCATGTGCATTCCAGGGTTGTGCAGACTAAACTTCCATTCATGCAGTAGGATAAATTCACTCATTAAAGAGATAGATTGCTAAATCAAACTGCCAGGATGGCTCAATAGTAGCCTCATGCAATAAAGTATGTTATATCAAGGACTGTTAAATGTTTTCCCTTTATTTCCTGTGTATTACACTGAGATTTTGTATATTCATTATATATAGTGGAATGCCAAAAAATTCTTCACTGGAATATCACTGAAGTTGACCGGTTAAGAAATTATTTTGCACACAATACTAACCTATGGCTTACCACTGCCTCTCTTCTCCTCTTATGCAACCAAAATGGCTTCACTAGTATATAATTTCAGTTTCCCTAAATTTGGTTTCAAAATAAGCAAACTTCAAACCATGGGTTTGTTTTCAACCAGAACCCCTGACAAGAAGCAGAGATTCAGAAAAATAAATTAGGGGGAAATGCTGGTTAAGTCCTTCACTTAGCTGAAATAGAGGAGGAATCGGGAGTCTACAGGCCTGAGGGTTTGCTTTGTCTCAGTTCCAGCTTATACACATAGTGAATGTGTGAATGTGGCCAGTGTGTCACATGGGCCCCTGCTGGAAATATGAAGCAGGTTCACAGAGGCAGAAAAATTGGGACCTTTAGATTCTATTTACGGAACACAGCATTTTCAATTCTTAGCACAGGACTTATGTTTACATCCTATCACATCAAGACTATTTTCTTCCTACAATGAAGTCAGATGTAACCCAAAAAGGGGCTTAGAAAGATATGAAAATAAGAGCAAGACAACGATAAAGCTTGCTGAATAGAGAAGGTAGAAACAGAAGCTTAGAACTTCTCTTGTTCTCTGTAGTCTATCCTAAGTACACAAATGGAATTTGAAAGTTGGCTTCTTCACTTCACTATTGAAAATAACATGCAAGCTACTTGGTTCTGAAATAATGTATAGAGCAAGCATTCCACAGATAAAACAGGACTACAAAATGTTATCAGAGAACACAAACCAGTGCATACAGTATTTGCAAACGCTACAATCCAGTAGCTGCATACAGCAAAAAGTAGGCAGAACATTCCTATTTGGGGCTTTGGAACAGCTTGCACTTTAAGAAGCTTGTCTTCCAGAGCAGACAACAGAATTCACTAATCTGAAGTCAAAATTGTTTAAGTTGCAAACAAAAAGTTCATCTGAAGGAGAAAAAGTACTGAATTTAGCACACAGATCTGTAAATAAAATCTGTAAATAAAATTTATAGATCTGTAAATAAAATAATGTAACAGAAACCAAAGATACCATTAACTTATTTGTTTGCTATTTATCAACAAGCAAAATAAAATTAAAATAGGCCTGTTTTCCTAAAACAGTCATATTGTTTTACCCAATAAACCACAAATTTGGGGAATATTGTTTTCCAAATCTATACTCTACATTGTTAGCCCCCAAAGTAGCTCATATAAACTTAAACACAATTAATGGCAATCCAAAAATCCATTAAAATTCAACTGCAAATTAGTTTTTTGTTTGAAACAAGAAAACAAAAACAAAAATTAAAACAAAGCATAGCATTTTTATGGTGTTAGGAAAGAGACATAACCTCCTTAACAAGAGGAGTCTAAAGATTCTGAACAGAATATGTTACTTTGTTCTTAAGTGCTTTCTTCCCACAGGTGAACAGATTCAATCTATGGACAGAATAGCATAGAGGAATATACACTGAAAATATAACATGAAAATTCTACACGATTTCATGATCATCATTCCAAAAGTACTTTTTTTGGGGGGGGGGGGAATATTGCTAGTATATGCCCAAAATAGCAAGAGAATTATGAAGGAGCTGCACATAATTATGCTCAATATGTTTACTGTTCAATAAGTCAAAGCACATTATGGAACTCCTACTATGGCTTCAATTGGACAACACCAAACAATGCCAATGTGACAAGCCTCTCCGATCGCTTCCTCCCTGCCCCTTCTATGCAGCGATCCCTCCATTCCTGTTGGTAAACTGAAGGATACAAATTCATGCAAAATGGCAAAATGTATCATTTAAAACATTTTCTAGCCTACCCTGCAACTTCTAAACTCTTAGAACATCTTACAGGACATTCTAATAACAAGTAGTATAAAAGCAGTAAACTGGGAATAGATGAAAGAGTCATGGGATTAAATAAGAGTTAACCAGTTTAGGAAGTCTGTGTGAATAAAAAGTGTCAGAATCATATAAAGTTTGGCACCCAAGTGAGCCTCCCTGTGAAGAACATTCAGCAACAAAGAAAGCCCTTTCCATGGCCGCCACCCCCAATACCTCAAGGACCAGCTCTCCCCATGTGAACCAATCCGGACCCTGTGATTATCATCTGAGGGCCGTCTTTGTGTGCACCCTTCATGGGAGGTCCAGAGGCAAAAAAAGAACAGACATTTTATGTGTTCCGTGTGTGTGAAATGCTCTCTTCAGGAGGTTTGCCTGGAACTGTTGGCAGATATCTTTAGGTGCCAAGCAAAAACATTCCTCTTCAATCTGGCCTTTGGCTGTTAACTATCTATGGCCTTTTAAAGTTGGGGTTTTGTTTTTATTTTTGTTTTTAAAAAGAGGCTTTGATTTGCCTTCAGCAAGACAAAGTATCCAATAAATTTAGTAAGAATGATATATATACAGGTGACAACCATTTTGCACGTGTTCAATTGGCATATGACCAGCATTATAAATTCAAATATGTAGGTTAGGTGCCAAATGGCTTCTTCAACCAGGGTTACAGTCTCAAAAGCAGAAAGTCTAATTGCCATTTTGGGGCCAGATAGCTAAAAAGTCTTATTTTTCAATAAAACTTATTGGTTCCTGAAATTCATTCTGATTGTGCAGATAAAATATAACAGTATAAAGTAAGCAGAACATAAGTGGCACATAAAACGCTACCAAACCATTCTACATTCTATGTGAGCTCTTTCAATTTTTGGATTACAGTGGTGCCCCGCAAGACGAACGCCTCGCAAGACGGAAAACCCGCTAGACGAAAGGGTTTTCCGTTTTGGAGGCGCTTCGCAAAACGAATTTCCCTATGGGCTTCCTTCGCAAGACGAAAGCCCATAGGGAAATCTCCGGGACAGCGGGGAAGCGCAGCGCGTCTTCCCCACTGTCCTCGGACCTCCTCCCGCCGCCAGGCTTCGGAAAGCTGCTCCGAAGCCTGGCGGGGGGGCGGAGAGACCTTCTCCCCGCGCCAGGCTTCGGAAGGCTGCTCCGAAGCCTGGCGGGGGGGGTGGAGACCTCCTCCCGCCGCCAGGCTTCGGAGCAGCCTTCCGAAGCCTGGCGGGGGGCGGAGAGGTTTTTTAAAAACCCTGGGACAGCGGGGGACTTCTCCGCTGTCCGGGGCGATTTTAAAATGCTGCCGGGCGGCAGCGTTTCTCCGCTCTCCCGGGAAGGCAGGCAGGGAGGAGCAAAGCCTTTTGCCCCCCGCCCACCTTCAGAAGAGGTCCAGGACCTCTTCTGAAGGCGGGCGGGGGGCGAAAGTCTTTGCTCCCCCCGCCTGCCTTCAAAAGCTGTCGTGGACAGCGGAGAAACACGTTGCGTTTCTCCGCTCTCCCGGGAATGCAGGCAGGGAGGAGCAAAGCCTTTTGCCCCCCGCCCGCCTTCAGAAGAGGTCCCCGACGACTTTTGAAGGCAGGCGGGGGGAGCAAAGACTTTCGCCCCCCGCCCGCCTTCAGAAGAGGTCCAGGACCTCTTCTGAAGACGGGCGGGGGGCAAAAGGCTTTGCTCCCCCCTGCCTGCCTTCCCGGGAGAGCGGAGAAACGCGTTGCGTTTCTCTGCTGTCCCGGAGAGCTTTTGTTTTTTTTTTTTATAAGAATTTTATTCGATTTTCTGCTTTTATAAAGACAAAACATACACAAAGAAAAAACAAAAGACAAAAACATGTATAAAATCAGCAAATCCCCGTTTCATAACCTTGTTCCCTGACTTCCCCCCACCTCCCCTCGTGCATCCCAGTTTCAAGATTATAACAGCAAGTTGATATTTCTCCTCTTAACAATCTTATTCATCTTATTTCGTTTTTCATAATAAAAATTGATTTTCATAAGTTGGACTTAAGTTCTCTTCCATCGATTTTCATTTTATCTTAATTGAAAGTCATCTTAACCAA